AGGCTGGTGTGATGTTGACCACAGCCAGGGTGTCGCTGGAGACCAGGGCAGCTTCGGTGGGTTTGGTGCCCCCACTCCTAAGGATCCAGCCCCAAACTGTCGCCCCTCCCACTCGAAGCTGACCCTGTGCTCAGCCGGCGGTGGCCTTCACAGGAGCCTGAGAGGGGCGAGGGCTGCACACAGCGGCTCCAGCCAGTTCATCCACTGCCATTGGCAAAGTGATCTTCCCCAGGCCCTGAGCACATTGATTTTTCCAAGCGAAGTAAGTGGAGGGTCAGGACGGGTTTTCTGCGAATTGCTAGACAGGGCTCCTTGGGGACAAGGCCTCCGCCTTCTCTGCTTTTGCATCCCAGCACTAAATGCAGGGCAGAGCCTCTGAGGCCGACCTTCAATAAATGCTGTCGGGCAAATGAACAAGTAGTGGGTGTCGGTGGCGGTGGGCACAAGGACAGCTAGGCAGAGAAGGAGCAGGCGGGGCCAGCAGGTTGGCAAAGGGGTGCTGCTCCCTGCCTTCTGGTCTCTCCAGCTTTCTGGGCCCTGGGAAGGACCAGGAGCTGGAAAGAGCCTGCAGAGGGACCTCCCAGAACCAGGCCCCAGACGCCTGTCTTGGGGTGGCCCTGGCAACCCTCGGGCTCTCTGTTCACAGTCGCACGACGGGATGGGGCAGGTGAGAACAGGTGGGGTGATAAGTACTAGCATGTGAGCCCCAGTCCTGCAGCCAGCGGCAGACACTGGCCCGCCTGTTGGGGGACGGTTCGTGTCCCCTGAATAAGACCAGACTGCAAAGCGGCCCTCACGGGGTCTGTAGCCTTCCCCTGGCAGCCTCTGCAGCACGCACACTGCTGGGTGCAATCACAGTTGCCAAGCTGGGGAGAGGGGACATCCCCAGAGCAGACACCAAGGACAGGAGCCCACCAGCACCACAGAAGCAAGTGCCCCTAGTAAGTGCGAAGCAGGGAACTTGCAGTATTTATTACCTGCACGCCTGTTACCATATCTTTAATCGTAACTTTTAGTGATTTAATTTCCAGGGGGCGGCTGCATTATGTCACTTGGGTTCTCTGAATCCTGGCATCCCAGTGCTCAGGGCCAGTGAGGGCAGTGACAGAGGAAGACACATGAGACTCCCGAGCCTGAGATGACAGGGCTTCGGGCAAGTCTGAGTTTGACTTGATTTAAAGTCAATTTAAAAGGTATTAAGTAAATAGTACAAGGGAGGAGCGAGGCAAGAGGAGGCCAAGGGAAAGAAAAGGCTGCTTTATGGAAATGCCGGCAGCTATTAGCTTTCTGGGGCACCGAGAAGGAAAGGGGACTCTCGGGGGAGGAAACAGAATTGACAACGGAAAGGAAAGGTATTCGGAAAGGTATCTGACATCAGTCACGATCAAACTAAGGCACCTGGAGCCGGTGCCCCGAGGGCGCCGACACGCTGAGCCTGGCTCAGCATGAGCAGCTGCAAAACTGTCACCCCGACTCAGGAATGTCCTTGCCCAGAATGGATCTTGAGGCAACCATTCAAGGAAAGGAGGCGACTCAGACCTGTGACCCCGCACAGCGGGAGGCTGAGGCAGGAGGATCTCCAGTTGAACAAACAAACAGCACATTTATAAAAAAGAAAGGCCAGGAACACAGGAAGGCATCTGCTGCCATCTCTCCTAGACCGAGCCTCCTCTCAAGCCCCTCCCTGCTTCTGCTGTTTGTCATAGAAAAAAAGAAAGAGAAGCACACTGTCAAAATGTCTTGCTGCAGGGAGACTACCTGAGTGCCAGCCTCCAGGATGGCACCTACTGAGGAGCTGCTAAAATGCAATTTAGAGAGAGAACAAGTAAACTCGCAGGATAATGGCCAAGCTCGTGCTAACTGAATAAAATCAGAATGCAAAATGACGTGCATGTTAGTATCAGAAGAGCAGAAGCAGCACATGCCCGGGAAGGCAGAAAATGCAAAGTAGATAAGTAGATGCGGTTCTGTGTGGAATTCTGGTTTTTTTTTTTTAAATTTTATTTATGTGTGTGTGTGTGCGCGCGTGTGTGTGTGGCCAGCTCAGCCCACCAGGGGGCGGGGCTGGCTGGCATGTGGTGCTGGGGGATTGAACCGCGGTCCTTGTGCTTTGCCAAGCTTGTTCTAAGTAGGTGCTTTAGACCACTGAGCCATCTCACCAGCCCCATGTGTGGAATTCTGGGTAGATTTTCTCTCTCTACTTTTTACCCCACCTGACAGGAGCCGGCTGATAGCGAGGTCCATGCTGGTGAAGGCCCTGTGCTAATCCTCACAGTCAGTCATCCTGGGGGCTGAATCCACCTGCGCCCACTTTACAGACAGGACCATCGAGGTTCTGAGATGGGAAAGGTTTTGTTCTAGGGTCCCCATGGGCACAAGGAGCCAGAATCTGAACCCAGCTGACTCCAGGCAGTGGCTCACTGCGCCTTGCCAGTTGCCACTGCAGGCTGGGAGTGAGAGGTGGCGCTCCTGGGACTGGCACTTTGTGGGGTCCTCTCTGCTGGGTAGTGCTGGCCACAGGAGGAGGTGAAGGTGATGGCAGGTGAATGGGCCAGAGCTCCTAGGGGTTGAAGGGCCTTTGCCACTGGTGCAAGGGACAGGACAGGGACCCAAAAACTGAACAAACTTAACCACGCCACACCAAAACTGTGCCTTCAACCAGAAGGGACAGCCCCGCTGAGTTTCAGGCTGCTGCCTGACCCAGGCCAGAGAGGCCTTGTTGTACGGCTGCCCAGAACCCGGGCCTTGTGTGCTGCAGGGGACTCTTGGGGCCCTGCTCCAAGGACAGTGAGATCTGACTCGCCCAGGAGCCCCCTGTCCTTCAGCTGCGCAGCTCCCAGCATAGGCTGTGGTTTTCCCAGCATTCAGCAACCGTGGGGCGGCACCTGCAGCAAGATGGTGTTCTGAGGAGAGCTGGGTCCTCCAGATGTGCCCATCCTCAGGGTCCAAAGCATTCAGGGGAGCAGCCTTGAGGGCAGAGGAATTGGGGGAGGAGGTAGGGGTGGTCCTCTAACCTTATCCTGCTATGGCAGTCAGTTTCCATCCCTGGCATCAAATCCCTATTGTTTAATTTAGCTCAAGGTGTCAAGGCTTCAGAGGGTTCGGTCCATGGCTCTTAAAGGCAGGAATGCCACAGCAGGCAGACATGGCAGAGGACAGCTGCTCAGCTCCCAGCAGCCAGGACTCAGGGAAAGGTCGAGGGCCCAGCTACATCCCCATGTCACATGCCGTGACTGGCTCACTTCCTTTGCTCCACACCTCTGGTTTACACTGAGAAAGTAAAAAAGCCCAGTGGCAGCCAAGCCGTGCACACAATGGGCCTTGCTGGGGCACATGCTGGATCCCAAGCATTAGATCCTATATCTGCCCCCTCCAAGGCCCAAAGGGGTTATTGCCCATGGTACCAATGAGCCAGCACTCGCCCAGGAGGGCAAGCACTTTGCCCAAGGCTGCGCAGTAAGCCGGAGCCTGGCTCCTACACCGCCACGGGGGAAGATGGCAACTGCCGGGAGCCCGGGGCTTCCTCAGCCAGCTGGAAGTCCCAGAGGCGTGAGCCCCACTGCATGCCAGACCTTAACCGTCTTCTGAATCGCAGTCTCGGAAGCCTCCCCGGTACTGATGTCATGCCAAGGAAACCGGACACCAGGCCTGCTCCCTTTCTGGTCTTCTAATTTTCGGGAATTTCTTGCTTTTGGCGGCCAGGAGAGGGTGACGCAGTGGTAGTGGGCTTCTGTGAGGCGCAGATGGAGGCTGAGGGAGCTCAGGCTAGGGCCGGGGCCTTCGGGTGGGACAGGCAGCGCCCAGTTGGTGGGCAGAGGCCTGAGGGTGTCAGCCGGCTCCGAGGAGACAGCCCTCAAGGTAGACAGGACATCAGTGTGTGACACACAACCACGGGGGTCTGCGGCCAGACACCCACATTCCAGGACATCCCGCCCTTGGGCTGGCTCATGGACCCCTCACTGACCGGCTTTTCTGGCTCCGAGGACCCTGCCCCAGGACAGGCCCGGTGTACATTTGTCAGACAGAGCCAAGCAGTGCCAGGTCTGTCTCCTGCACGGGGAATGCGGCAATGACCCAATCAATAAGCACAGGCTGGTTTAAGTGCATCTTATTAATTATTCAAGCCATTCATTATTGAAAAGGTCGCTACCTGAGAGATACTTAAATGAGCCTTAACTGGCTCGCAGGCACCTCCAGAGAGAACGCAGGGAGGGGCCACCGTGCTCCTCTGACTGCCCTGGGTGTAGCTGAAGCCTCTAGACTGTCTGGGGCAGGGTGCCCTCACCCCTGACTCCCTCCAGAGGGTGGGAGCAAGGTCAAAGGGTCAGAGGAGCTGGGCTTGGGAGAGCTGGGAAGGCCCAGCCGCCAGCCTGCCCGGCATATGACTACACTTCGCAGCAGGGAGCTCTGGGGAGATCTGGCAGCTGGACTTGGGTGGTGACCTCCAGGGACCAGGCTGCAGCTCAGTCCCAACCAGAAGCCAGACTCAAAACTCACACCCACTCTGGCCCCTGGGCCCAGGTCCCCAGTCCTTGCAGAAAGGAACAGGAGTCGCCGTGGGAGAGGCCCGATCCAGACCCTGCCAGCCCGACCACTCCCTGCGGGCTCCTTCCTTTTTCCCTCCAGCCGTGGCTGTGTACCTCAAGGTCTGTACTACTCACTTTATCACTTCACCATACCCTGAAATCCTAAGCCGTCATTCAGTGCCTCCTTTTGCCTTGCCAGCTAGGAAACTCTACACCCCACCAAATGCTCGTTCCCCTTACAGCTCACCCCAAGCTCTACGGGCAGCGAGTCTTATGCAAGCTTTGCTTTGGGGCTGTTTCCACCTCTCAGCTCATGCCTGTGCGCATGCCGCCAAGGGCAGCTTCAGATCCCACTGGGCCAAAAATAATGAAAACAAATCAGCAGGGACCGTGGGCCAGCGCGGCAGCCCCAACCACCCATCTTTCTCCAGGAAAAGCCCCCCATGGCCACAGCGGTCGAAGGTGGTCACTCACCAGGCGGACGAACTCTGGAAGGACATCAGCGGCGGGCTGTGGGGGTCTTCCCGCAGCGTGTGCACGGCCTGGGGCGCTGGTGCTTGCGGCAGGGGCCCAGGCGGGGGTTGGGGCTGCGGGACCGGGACTGGCTGCCGTGGCCGTGACGCCCGGGCAGGGTCCCCCCACTGCCGGGTGTCCTGCTTCATCCATCGTCCCTGGATGCCCCAGCGTGCCAGGGACGCCTTGCAGATGTCGTAGTTCATGGCCGAGTAGTACAGCAGGTCCAGGACCAGGAGCATGAGCACGAAGAAGCCGTAGATCCACACTCCCAGCAGGGCGGTGTAGTTGCTGGGGACAGGGGACAGAGGGTGAGGAGGACACCTCCTTGGCCAGCCTAGGGCTTGCTCTGGCCACCAGCCCCCTTCCCCACCCTCCTTGGGCCCCACCCTGGGCCCGGTCTCTGCACCCTTTGGCCAGGGTCTGAGGTCTTCTTGCACTGTTAGTGCTGTGCTGGGGAACCTAAACTCCCCAAGCCCGGGGGTCTGGGCTCGCTCCACCGTGGGTGCCCTCCCCCCGGCTTTGCTTCCTGCTCACCTGGGATGCCCCTGCCCTGTAGCCTTGATCTCCTGACAGAGGTAGAGACTAGGTGAAGGCTGCCATCCCAGGGCCACTTCACACCATTGCCCCTGGACCCCAGCTGGTGTTCCCCCTTCCAGCCTCTCTCGGGCTCTCGGAGACCCCCAAATTCTCTGCCCAGGACCCAGGGCTGTGGCTCGGCACCCCCCCAACACACACACTTATCAGCTACCCTCTGCGCACTCTGCTGGGGAGTCCCCTCACTGGGACTGCACGGCGGGTCCCCCGAGCCCCTCTACCATGTCTCTCATCCATTCACTCCGCATCTCCCCACCAGGATGGGAGCCCCCAACACTTACTGCAAAAGTCCCTGGCTGGCCGCCCTCACAGTGGGGCGGTACCTGCTCTGTGGGACCCCTGCTGACCCAACAGCCCCGTGGCCCCATTCCCATACCCCATCCGAGGCTTCTGAAACAACGGCTGCAGCCTGTGCTCCCTGCTGCCCCACTGGCACTTGATCCAGTGGGTGTTGGAGGGGCAGAAGCCTGTCCAGCTGTGTGTGCCGCTGTCCCCACCCCAGCAGGAACCCTGTGGGAGGCCTGGGATTTGCCCTCCTCCGCTGAGTGCTCTGGGAACCCCATGGCTGTCTCTGGACCCAAGGAGAAGCCCACCGGGGCTCAGATCTAGGGCCCTCCATCTTGGTGGGGGATGTACCCCCAGGTTCCCCGATTCCTTCCTGGACTGGGCTGGGGGCCAGGACATGGTCTTCATTGCCCCGCTGCAACCCTGTAACCCCACCTTGACCAAGACCTCAGGCTAAGCCTGGGAACCCTCAATGAGAGGCCTTCCAGCCCTGAGCCGCTAGCGAGGGCAACCTGAGGGCAAGTGCTTAGCGTCAGTACCTGCCTGGGGGATGCATGACCCTCTTGCTCCCTCCTGTGGCCCCATCTCCCACCCACCACTGCCATGAGGGCTGCAACAGTCATATGGACTTGTTCATACTACAGTGTGAGTGACTGACATGTTTCTGGCTGCCTTATTTGAAGGGGACACTCGCTCTACTTGGAGCTTCAGGGAGAAGAGGTCAGGAGCCTGAGTCAGCAAGCTATGGCAGAATTGGAGGACAGGGGGTCCACACCACTGGAGGAGGCCATCTGCCCCTGTGTCCCTGCCCTGTTCTCCCCAGCAGCCTCCCCCATCATCCTGTAAGGCTTCTCTGAGGTTCCCATGGCAGCAGCTCCGGTGGGTGGAGGGAGGAGGGAAGGGTGGGGAAGCCGGCAGCTGTGTGCAGATGCGGCCCAGCAGGAGGGAGCCCACGCCACCAGCGCTGGAGACAGGCTCACCCTGCTAGCTGCATGGTATGGCTGCCCCTGCCTGGGAAGGGCATCACCCCCATCACTGTGCCCGGGGGCCACCATGCGGGGTCCTGGGGCACCGGCCCCCCCAGCTGTGGTGTTCCTGATGCCAGGCCTTTGCCCAAGCTTGGCAGGGACTCCTTGTCCTATGTGCATCTCAGACCGGCCAACACTGCCTCCAGGAAGCCCTCCTGGATGCCCAGTGTATGCCCAGCCCTTCTTTGGGGTCCTCAGAACACATGGAAGGCTGTTTGCCCTGCAGGGCCATCTGCCCTGGAGATGCTCCCACAGCTGCCCCAGAGCGAGGGCTTGTGATAAGGCTCCCGGGAGGTCAGGTTCTCTGCATGCGGCCGATGGGGACATTGGCCGCCACCACGCCCACCTCAGGAGCTGTTGCCCCACTTTACAGAGTGGAAATGAGAACCAGAGACTACCGAGTTGGCAGTGCCAGGGCTGGGACTCAGACCGAAACCCCCCAGAATTCCAGGGAAATGTCCAGATCAAACCTAGGGCAGATGAAAGCCAAGCGCAGTGGTGCCCCTGGGCTCCCTGCCCTCGCAAGGCTGAGGCAGGCGGGGTATCTCGAGCACACAGCAAGACCTCAAAAACATAAAAAAGCCAACCAAGCCCAGGACAGATGTCCAGTGAGGAGGTCCAGCAGCCCGGTAGGGCTTCTTTCCCCGCTCACCTCCACCAGGAGCTGAGGACAGGCCAGCTTCCCCCACTGGGCCTCCAGCACAGCATGGGCAGCTGGGCTTCTGTGCATGCACACGATGTGCCCTGCCAGGCCCTGCAGCAGCGCTGCCTGCACCCCACCTCCTGCCCCTGCAGGACCCTCACCAGGCCCCACCCCCTCAGGAGAGGCTACCCCTGGCACCCAGCTTTGCATCACCAGCTGGGAAGACCCAGATCTGCTAAGATTTCTAGTTGAACTAAAAACACGCAGCTTGGGAATGCGCTCTGCCCAGAGGCCGTCTCTGCCAGGCGTGCTGTCGGCAGTGGGAGATAAAAGCCAGGCTGGCGCGGGGCAGAGCCACAGCGGCGAGGCGCCGGGTATTCTGGGAGATGGACTGGGTCAGATTCTCCGGGTGTTTCCTAAGCGATAAACAAAACCTTCCCCAGGCAGTGACTGTGTGGGGCGTCTCCCTGGAGCAAGTGCAGCTGTGGTTGGGGCGGGGGATGGAAGTTCCATGCTGTCTAGGTCCATGTCACTATCGCTGTCCCCACTGCATGCTGCAGGGTGCAGGAGGAAAGTTCTAGGCCCCCAGGTCAGAGAGCTGGGTTGCAGAATGGACCCAGTGCTGGCTGGAGCGGAGGGGAAGGGGCAGGTGGTAACCATGGTGACGGGGGTGGGTCAGGAAGTCAGAGCCCAGTGGACCCACATCCTGGCTTGCTCAGCGCTCTCTGTGACTGGTCCTGGGGCTTACGCTCAGACACGAGGAGGCTTAGCCATCGGCTGCCCTCGCAGGCCCTCGGAGCAGGGTTCTTCTGTCTTCACAGACTTCTACCTGCCCTCCCCACCAATGTCACTGATACCCTAAGGCACCCCCAGAGGCTGGGCTGGCCCGGGATGGCACCGACTGATCCCCTCCAGCTCTTTCCCTCCTGACCTTGGGGTCCCTGTCTGACCCTGAAGCTGGTGTCCAGTGCCTGGCAGAGGACCCAGGGTGTATGTAGGCCCCTCCTCAGGGCCTTCCCAGGCTCCCTGCATGGCTGGAAGTGGACATCAGCCTTGGCGGCGGGCTGGGCCGTGCTGCCTCCTGCCCCTCTGCCGCCGTCTCTCTGCCAGGAAGCCAGAACCAAAACAAACCATTCTGTTCCTCTGGAAAAACACAAATAAATAAGGCATCAGCGCTCCGTTTCTGTCACCACCGCCTCCGGCTGATTCACTGGCAAGGATGGGGCAGGGGCTGGTACCACTGTGCTCCAGGTGCCCCTCTGGGGTCACCATTGGCCTGGCCCCTCGGGATCCCCGCTGGCAGGCACCAAGCTGCCCAGGATGCAGGGACACCGGATCTGACACCAGCCCAGCCTCTGCCTGGCCCTTCTTGCCTCCTCCCAGAGCCATGGGGAGACAATGCCTCTTGGTGCCCAGATGGACCTGTCCCACTGCAAGGCCCAGGCCAAGGGCAGGACAGGGCCGAGCAGGTGCCCTGCCTGGTCTGCTCCCACTCACAGGCCCAGCCACACCAGCTAGGGACCGCCCGCACCCATGCCCCAGGCTGCTCCTGTCACCTGCTGCACCCTGCCTGGATGCCATACCTGGGACAGCTCCTGGGCTGAGCACTCCCTTCCCACAGCCCTGGGAAAGGCCTGTGCACCCTCCTGGGGTGGGGGGCACTGTCTCAGCCTCACTGCGTTACAGGGGACCCTGCCTCTGGCACCCTTCCATCTGGGCCATGCACCCTGAGAATGCATTTGGGGTCCTTCCCCCCAGAGGCACAGCAGCCCAGTGACAGGGAAGGTGAAGTCCTGGAGCTGGTGCCCCAAATCCTGAGCGCACATGGGGGTGGGCTACAGGATGACAAGGGACGGACAGAACCTTGCTAGGGCAGCTCTCAGCCCGGGTGACTGTGCTCCTTGGCACGATCAGGAGATACTGTGGTTGTCCCACTGTGGGGCAGGGAGCAGGGTTTCCTGCAGATCCTGGTGGGGACCAGGGCTGCTGCCTCACCTCCACAGTGCACAGGGACCCCAAGGCCAGCAGGGGCCTTGCCGGTCCCCACCTAGATCCACCTCCATGGCAGATGCCCCGTGACAACTCTGGCAATTTTCTAGACCCTCCCAGTGTAACCCCCACCCCACGCTGGAACCTTATCCCACGGTGCCTCAGCACTCTTGCCTCAGCTTCCCTGCCTGTGAAGCAGCCTGGACTTGGGGTGGCACTGCCCTGGAGGGTGGGGTTCCAAGCCCCTCCTTGAGGCCAAGGAACAAAGCCTCACGCTTAAGCACTGATCACCACATTTCCCGCTGGTCCCCCGGGTTCCCCAGGGCTGGGCCTCAGTTGCAGCCTGGGTTCCAAGCCTGCCATGAGGGATGCGGCTTGCTGAGCGACTTCACACCCGAAATTATTCCGAGGCTGAGCAGATGGCAAGATATTCAGGGGAAACTCCATAGCGGGAGGGCGAGTGGGGGGAGGGGGAGCTCGGGCCACAGCCAAGGAGCCTGCGTCTCCTGCCCGACCCATGGGGCGAGGGGCACCTTCCCCAGAGGCAGCAGCACAGCCCACCCAGCACCAGTCAGCGGGCTCTGGGCTTTGAGCTACAGCTCCCAGCAGCACCAGAGTCCTGCAGCAGCCCCTGAAGAAGCCCCCCTTTCAGGCCCATTTCTCCTACCACAGCTAGGAAACACAGCCAGCCCAGCATCAGCCTCCTGATCCCTGGGAAAGCCTGGGAAGCACGGGTTAAAATCAGGAGCAAAGAAAGAGGCCTAGCCAGGCAAGTCTACAATGCAGTTGGACAAGGAAACCAAGTGTGGGCGTGGGGCGAAGGACAAACCGATCCGGTCAGAAGCCAACGAGGATGCACCGGGAAGGGCTGCCCCAAGATCTCAAAAGCGGTCTGGAGGGAATGGCACTATAGAGGGCCCTGGCTTTTGTCATCTGCATAGCAGGCAAGGGAGGGCCCAGGACAAAACCAAGGGACAAACGTGGAGAGGACAGTGGCAGCCACAGACAGCCCCGAGCTGCTGTGAAGGACCACTGGGCCCCCGGGCGGCAGGTCGTGTGAAGGACCACTGGGCCCCCGGGTGGCAGGTCGTGTGCCCGGGCGAGTAGCTAACATCAGGGCGAGCCACTTCTTGGGTCAGGCCCTGAATTCCGTGGAATCCCAGAAGGAAATATTAACTGGACTTCCCTGGATTGGGGTTAACCTGGGATTTTACTTGGGGAGGGAGGGGACTGCACGAGCGAATTCTGCCACCCGAGTGACAAAGAGACCGAGACTAAAACACACGCAAGTCACAGGCGTTACCGCGAGCATTCACAGAGCTGGACCCCGAGTGACCACATATGCAGGATCCCAGCGCCCCTGCCCTCAGCATCTGCGCCCCACGGTACGTGCTGGGCTTGGGTTCAAGACCAGCAGAGAGGTGGCCAAGGCACTGAATGATGAGGCGAAAACCTAAGAGTGGGTTCCACGCGCAAAACCAACGTCGGTGTTCACTTGCGGGGTAGCAAAGGTCAGCTTTTTGAAGACAAAACAAAGTGAAAATAAGTCTGGTATAAATGATAAACCAGAGATTTAGAGACGAACAATTTAAACAAAAGAAAGAGAGGAAGATGTGGGAGAATTTTTCAACAGCCTCAAATGGGAAAAGCTTTTCTCACATTGATGCAAATCCCAGAAATTGCAAAAGCACAAGTTTTGATGCACTGTGAGTGCCTAACGATTAGAACTAGGCACGGGGAGAAAGCACCCCCAAGTCAGTGGCGTGCTGAGAAAAAGCTCTTTTTTTTTTTTTTTTTTTCCTTTTGAGACAGGGAACAGGCTGGTCTTGAACTTGCCATGTAGCTGAGGGTAGCCTCAAACTCATGACGATTCTCCTGCCTCAGCCTCTCCAGTGCTGGGATTACAGGCGTATGCCATCACACCTGGCTACTCATTTCTTTCATATGTAAAGTTTTTATAAACAAATATATAAAGGATAAAAAGTGCAATAAAAAATGGTAAAAGACACAAGCAGCGAACTCACATAAGAAATGCAAACCGATCTCACCCATGTGAAGGTGGTCAGCTAAGCTCCTAGCAAACATGCTGCTTCCACCCCCGTGGCTGAGTGAGCGTCCTACCACTGTTCTTCGGCCTGCAAGCCCCTCTCCATGTTGTGGGCTCCTCGCTCAAGACCCCAAGCTTTCTGAGAACCTTGAGGAGATGGGCTGCCCCACGTGAGCCACCTCTGGCTTAACCTCAGGCAGTGCTTGTTGAATGGAGGATCCTGAGCCCTGCAGATTCCAGGCCTGCAAGCCTTCTGCATCCCTGGCCCTATTTATCCCCTGCCATGGCCCAGATGTACCCATTTTTCTGATGAGAAGACTGACGCCCAGAGACCCTGGTCACCTGAGACTCCACTGGGCTCCCGGCAGGCCCATCCTCCCAACGGTGACCCTGGGGCAGGGCAGCCCCCCTGCGCCTGCAGACCCCCACTCACTTGTGCACGTAGCCCTCAGAGCTGGCCGTGAGGTTCGCCTGCATGACCGCCTGGAACTCTGTCTCGTTGCAGCAGTACTTGAAGACCGAGCTGTTGTGCCGGCAGCACAGGATGAAGGTTTTGTTGTCTGAGAGCCGGGGGCAGTGGAAGCCGAAGTGGTAGCGGCCTTTGTGGTCGGTGTAGGGCTCACACACCCGGAAATGTGCAGACAGGCCTGCGAGACAGAACCACGGCTCAGCGGGGCCCCGTACCACCCCAGGACCCCCACAGCCTCCCAGGTAGCCAGGGACCCTCTCGGGGCACTTCGCAAATCACAGAGTGTAAGCTGATCCCCCTGCTCCCCGGTCCCCAGCCTGGGCCCAGACAAACTCAGGGAGGCTGCTGACAGGGACAGTGCTCAGTAACAGCCACCGCTGCTGCCCTCTGAACTCCAAACCTCCTCACTTGTAGGAAAGGGAAGATCCCATGAATGAATGCACGCAGTCACCAGAGGAGGGAGGACCCGGCACACGGTGGCCTCCCGGGTCCTAGGCGTGGCTTGGCTTCAGCTCTGTTCTGGGAGCCCTGCCCAGCAGCCCAACCCAGCGCCCTCCAGACCTCCAGAGGTGCCTGGCTGGAAACCACAAGCTTGGCTGGAGCACAAGGCCATGAGCAGGTACAGGGAGACCTGGCCCTGTGGGCCCCCTTGGAGTAGGGGGAACAAGGGAGTCTCTCTGGTTGGCTCTGGTCTGGAGAAGCAAAGGGTTTGGTCGATCCCCTTTGTAGCCTGAGACCCCAGTTAAGATTCAGAGGACAGCTGGGGTGGGGAGGGCTGGCTAGAGGAATCCCAGACCCTCACTAGCTGTGCTGTCTCAGGAAGTTCCTGCCCTGGCCTCAGTCTTCCCATCTGTAATGGGGTGGCTTGGCATCAGCAAGCATCCACCCACAGGGCTAAAGGGGAAGATGTGGATGAGATCGCTCTGCAGCCCCTGAACACCATGGCACCCGAGCCTCCCGCTGCCCCGGAGGCCCCACCTGCGCCCGCACCCCACAGCCTTCCTTACCTGCTGAGAAGAGCAGTGCGAGGAGCAGGGCGAGCGCGTTCCAGGACCGCTGCCCACAACTGGTCATCGTTTGGCCTGCATCGACCTGACCTGCCCAGCGCTGCCTGTCAACGAGACCCAGGGTGTGGGCTGCGGTGGGGACGGCAGGTGGGCGGGCTGGGCAGGGGGTACGGGCGGCTGGGGGGAGCGAGAGCAGAGCTGCCGTCTCATCTGTCTGATCTCTAGAAGCAGCGGCCTTCCCCACAGGTCACCCAACAGCCCCTGTGCGTTCATGGCTTAAGGACACCTCATCAAAGGCGGCGGGACGCAGGGGTGGGAATGAGCAGCGCTGCAGGCTGGAAAGCGAGGAGGAGGCCCGGGCCCTGCGTGCCCCAGCGGCTCCCTGCTGGGCCGGCAGTGAGCCTCACAGAGGCAGAGCCATCCCTGCCTGCGCCATCCAGCGTGCGCACTCACACGGGGACGCACACGCAAGCACACACGAGTGCTTTAGACGCTGCGGACTTGTGCAGATGCACCTGAGGAGTAGGACCCAGGACACCAGCAGGTACTGCACCCCAGAGAGCAGGGCACCACCGGGTGCTAGTGGATGCCTGCACACTGATGTTCACAGCAGAAGTATTCATAGGGCCCCAGGGGACACAGGCCAAGTGTTCCTGGATGGCCTGATGTGCCCACGGTGGCTGGAGTACTATTGAGCCTTCAACAGAAAGGAGACTCTGACCCATATACAGTACAGGTGCAGGCTGGGGACTCCACACCCAGCGAGACCCCCTAGTCACAGAGACGGGTTATACATGATTTGCTTATGAGTCTCAAGAGGAAGTGTCCAATTCAGAGACAAAAAGCAAGAAGGGATGGCAGGGTAGGGGGCTGCTCTGTTTCACCCCTCCTCTGATTCCCTGCCTCCTACAGCAGTTTGGTGACAACTGGACCAGGCCCTTTGCCCCTACCCCAGTCCAAGAGGTGACACAGGTGGCAGAGACGTGACCCCACACAGCACAGCTCAGTGAAAGGGACAGGAAGGACCATGTGCAGCCCAGGAAGGCCCCTCTGCTGGCTTGGGACTGTCCTGGGCCCTGGCTCCAGGCCTCTGGAGTCGCGCTGGGCCACTTGTCCTCCTGATCTCTCACACTAGCCAGGCAGAGCAGAGAGGCTGGGGTGTGGGTCCAGAAGCAGCCCCACACCCTGTGCCCACCATGAACTAAGCCAGAGCTGCCAGGCAGGAGGAGGGGCGCCCCCCATGACCCTGAGACTGGACACTCAGTAGCAGGGGCCTTTGTGGAACTTGTGAGGGTTGCCAAGCCTGAGGTCCCCTCTCCCCAGTGGTGAGCAGCTCCTTGCTGGAGTGGGGAGGGGGTGCTGGGCCCCACTCCCTCCTGCCCCACTGCTCCCAGCTCCCAGGGCTCCAAGCTGCTTAACTGCTCTGCACTCAGCCTCCCCCCCCCCGCCCCCTCCTTCTCCTACTCCTCGTCTTCCTCCTCCTCGGCCCCCCTGGGAGGATGAACGGAGATTACAGCTTTAAAGTGCTTAGCCTAGGATTTCACTCTGGGGAGACTTCAGCACAGGCCTGGGAAACACCCTGGGGGGCAGGGGCAGGGCTGAGGCCCTATCTGGGAAGCCAAAGCCTGTGAGACTCAGGTCCATATGCCTGGTCTTGGGGTCCCCGCAGGATGGGCTGCCCCACTTTTGCAGCTGGAGCCCCAGTCCTAGGACCGGGAGCTGACAGTGTGGAGGAGAGGCCCCTCTCATGGCCTCCCTCACTACCAAGTCAGGAGCACCTGGTTGATATTGGGGGACACCACCAAGCCCCAGGGTGCCCACCCTCATTCCTGGAGCCCAAGTCCATCAGCACTGGAGAAGGTGGTGCAGCACCACCTCCTCCAGGAAGCCTGCCCTCAGCTCACAGGCCAGGAGGTCCCAGGGACAAGAGACAGTGATTGTCCTGGGTTCCATTTCCTGGAAAACTGGGGAGCTGCCCAAGAAGGTAGCTGATGGCCTGAAAGCCAGAGAAGGCGCCACACGTGGGTGGAGGACAGGGCTTCCGCAGGCCCTTTCCTGCCTGGCCCAGCACTCAAGGCAGCAGGGACTGCTGCTCTGAGATCTGAGGGTTGTTTTTAAATACGGAGAAGGGGAGGAAGAGGGCAAGAGAACAGAGCTGGGAAAGAGGAAAGAAGCCCCATGGAGGACAAGCAGGACCCCTGGCTCCGCTGGGTGGGGACAAAGGGACAGTGGCAGGCAGTGGAGCAGGAAGGACACCCAGGATGCCCGGCCTCTGCCCTGGTGCTGGAAGTGGGGGGTGTCCTGCTGGGCACGGCCAAGGCACCCCCACCACTGGACCAGGTCGGGGGCGGGGCGTGGAGGGTGGACCCCAGAGAGGCCAAGTTCTGGCAACAGGTTTGTGACCCCTGCGATGGGGTGAGTCTCCCAGCTTGGGGCCCTCATGGCTGCCTCTCTGTGCCTCAGTCTCTCCCACTAAGTCAGCTCCTTTGTGAGCTGCGGCCCTTGGCTGTGCCCCACCTGCTGAGCTGCCCAAGTCCTTCTCCTGAGGCCCAGCTGGGCCCACTAGTGCCAGGGTTTGAAAACGCTGGCAACTCAGCAAGACCCTGTCTCAAAATAAAAACATTATGAAAGGGCTGAGGACATCACTCAGTGCAGAGGCCTTGGGCTCCATCTCCAGTAATGATACATACAGCGAGGCAGAGACAGAGATAGTCAGCGACAGACAGAGACACACAGACAGACAGAGACACAGAAGCTGTAGCTCAGAGAGGCTAAGAGGTCTGCCCAGGGCTGCGCTTTGAGGTCAAGCCCATTCAGCTCTGGACAGAGGCTCCCAGGGGCAGGGCAGTAGCACAGGCTCCAGGTCTCCCTGGCCGCCCCAAACATTGCTTGGGGCATCCACTTCTCCATCTGTGAAATGGGAGCAGCACCCCTACATGCAACGTGCTGAGAGCAGACTGAAAATACCACACAGGAACAACTGCTCCACCCCGCTGGCCGCTCAAGGGCCATGGCTTAGGTACCCAGTGTGCCCCCTGTGGGGTGAGGCATGTCCACACACCCGTCTCTGCAGGGCGTCCTCCCAGGCTTTGCTGAGTTTTTACTCTGTGCTGATGTCTCTCATCTTTGACAGCCAGGGAGCCGCTGCACTGCGGGCTGCACTGCGGGCTGGGGCTGAGCCGCCTCTAGGTCCTCCCATGCCCTGCAGGGAGCAGATGCTGGGTGCTGGCCGCTATGGGGCAGGGGCTCTCCTGCCACTCAGCCAAGCAGGGTGTGACAGCACACACCAGGCCTCCCAGCATTGAGCAGGCTGAGGCAGGAGGACTGCCGGGACTTGGAGGTCAGTCTGGGCTACATGGTGAGTTCAAGGTCAGCCTGGACTATACCTTGAGGCCCTGTCTCTGTCCCCTTCTGGCTGCGAGAAGGATGCTCTGCATAGTGCCTTGAGGCATGGGGACGAGTGTCAGAGGTGGGAGGGGCACGGGCCACCCGGCCCTGGGAAGGCTCCTCCTGCACGCTGCTCTCCCTGCCCAGAGCTCCTGTGTCACTGTCCCCAGGGATTACCAGGCCAGGAGATGAGGCCCAGGGTGGAAGGAGCCCCATCTCCAGCCTGTGGAAGGGGCATTCGTGGAGCCTCTGTCTCCCCGGGACAGCCAGAGGTCACAGCCACAGACACACCATGTCATGGAGTGTGAGTAACCAGTGCCGGCTGCAGGAGGAAAGACAGGCGCGGATGCCATTTCCAGGTGGCCCCACACGTCTGTCCTCAGCCACCGGCCAGGAGGCCTGCAGTACCTCCTCACTGTTCCCCGGGGGAGAGGAGAAGCCAAAGCTCTAAGCCTCGGCTTCCCCACTGAACCAGGAGTGACACACTCAACCTCAAGGGTGTGGGGCAGTTATTCATTCATTAAACCCTTCCTTCGCTCGCCCAGCCACCTGTTCATCCCCCCGCCGAGCTGAGGCTGGCCTGACGCTCTACCCTAGCACGTATGAAGGCCCTGAGGCCAGGTTGAACGGGCGTGGAGGGGGTAGCTGGCACAAGGGTGACACCCACCACTCACAGGCACCCACAGGAGCCAGTGTAGCCGGCCCTGTATCCTCCCGTGCTCGGCCAAGCCTCTGCACTGGTGTCCTCACAGCAGCCTGGCAAGAAGCCCATTTTATAGATGAGCAAACCGAGGACCACACTGCTGAGGCTGTGGTCAGATCCCTGCCTCAGCCCTATCTTGGGGTCACGTGGGGGCAGTAGGCTCCCATGAGGCTTGTGGGAGGGCGCTGAGAGCAAGGAAACAGGGCCATCCTTGGCTGTCACCTTGTCCCCTGGAAGCATAGGGTCCCCTGCAGGTAGGCCACCCTGGCCAAACTGGGCAGGGTGTCTGCACCACCTAGACACTACCCAAGGCCTCTGGTCCCACAGACCCTTTGCCCCTACTCCTGGGCCCTCTCACCCGGCCCCTTCCATACTGTTCCCTGGCCTTTCCTCTGTGCAGCCTGGGTGGCAGCCGGGCCCTAAGGGAGGCCACATTCCTCCTGGAAGCCTGCCCGCCTGGGCTGGGCCAGAGAGAAACCTCCTTTTTTATCCTCCCCAGCACATAGTGCAAGGGCCAAGGGCCCTTATCCAGCCTGGTCCAGGTAGTAGGCAGCAGTTTGAAGGGAGGACATATGATGAGAAGCCAGGGGCAGTGGCAACCTGGTGGGGTGGCAGAGAAAGGAGCTCACCGAGCCCTGACAGTCAGGAGGTGCTGTAATGGTGATCCCCAATTTCCAGGTGAGGCACTGAGGTTAAGTACTTGCCTGGCTGGTTTCTGGCAGAGCGGGGAGGCAAGACAGGGTGACTGGAAGTGGACCCCGAGGATGACAGAGAGTAGGGAGGCATCCCACAGGGGATCAAGGGCCAAAGGAAGAGGAGGTCATGTGGCCGGGTCAGCCTGCAACCGACTAGCCTCCCAACTCAATCAGGAGGACCCCACTCACTGGACAGCAGGGCATCCCACACACAGCTGGGGAGGGACATCTGCAGGAGCTAGACAGGCCAGCGGATGGCATGCTCAGGCATGTGCACAAGGTGACACCCCTTCTCCACTGAGCAAAGGCCCTAGTGTCC